TTCCTGGCTGAATCCAGCACATTCTGAAATGGAAGAGGGAAGGGGTTGGGGAGGAGCTTTCCTTTTCAGTTTTATTACTCCATTAGAAATATGAGAAATGTCCTTTGAATGTTACACATTTTAATTCCAAACGGGCTTCTTGGTTCTGGTATTTTGCTGCTTATGTTTCTAATGCTAATCTGTGTAGTATCAGTTGTTAAATAATGTATACACTTGCATGTTCCAGATTTTCACCTGATGGAAGGCTAATAGCATCTTGCAGTGAGGATAAATCTATTAAAATCTGGGATGCAAGAAATAAAACTTGTCTTGGTAGCTTCTTAGATTATGAAGGGTAAGTGTTACTGGAAAAAAGGAGAAATGTGAACGTGTAATTTCAATGCAATTAAATTAATGATTTGTGGTATTAACATCTATGTATGTTAATACATACATAGTTGAAAAACTTCTACCTCTCATGTAACATAAAATAATTAATTTCACTTTTTTCTAAAGAAGTTGACTAGCTGCACTTATCCAGCTGTTTTCCAGCAGTCAAGAAATAAGCCAGAGATAATTCAGATTTGTTCTTGGATTTTTGAACATTTTCAGGTTTTTCCTCCGTATGGATAATGCTATTTGATGTTGGATGCTTCAACAAGAAAAGAAGTTTAAGAATTCTCCACTTGATGAAAACAGCATTCTTTTAGCTTCAATGACCTGCCTTATTTAGGTTTAGAAAAACTTGCTTTTACTTATCAGCAGTTTTATTAAGTATCTCGGAACCAGAGTTTTAATTAACAAGTGTAACAGAATATCAATCTTGTACATGTGCTTTGCTAATTTATTGTCAGCCATCTCTGTCCTTTTTCCAAGCTAAAAGGTTGTTATAGTTAGATAGTCTGTTCTTAGACAAAATCATTTAACCTGTTGCTTACAAACTCTTTGCAGCACTTTCCTCAAGGAACTTTCTACTGCAACACAAACTGTGAAGGTTTGAGACAGGACAATTATACTATCTTTTTAACAAAATCTAGATTATACAGTCTGATCTGTCATGCATATCTTGTTTTCTTATGTTTATTTCAGTTTCTTGAAATACCTTATTTGAGTTTCCATATGTAGGGGTTCCACGTAAGTTTGTGGCAATTTTGTTAATGTTGTGTTAATTTTGTGATGTTTACATATATATATACACGCACACGCAAGTATTTCTATGGAAACACATAATCAATCTATTTTCATTAATTATGTTTAGATTTGCAAATTTTGTGGATTTCAATCCAAGTGGTACATGTATAGCTTCTGCAGGTTCCAATCATACGGTGAAACTGTGGGATATTCGAATGAACAAGCTACTGCAGCATTACAAAGGTAAAACCAATGTAGTGTTTATTTTTTTTAGAATGGAACTCTTTGCAACAAAATACGATTATTTAGATTTTATGATTTAATTCTTTACTGGGGAAAGTGGACAAACAGGTCATATTGGCATTTTCTAAGTGGTCTTTTTGTAATCTAGCAACCCTAAAAATCCAGTCTGAATCCTGATTATTTCTTTGCGATGCTTCTGTTAACTTCTAGAACAGGACTAAGCAAATACTTTGGAGAGTTTGCTATGCCCTAGCACTTGAGTTGTTTTTCCCTTAAATGAAGTAGGTTGTTCTTTTGTGAAGTAGAACAGGGTGAAGAAATAAAGTGTACGCTTCTTGTTTTAGATATCTACAGTCTTTGAATATTGTCTTCTGTAAATTAGTTCACAGAGCAGGTGTTAATTGTGTATCATTCCATCCTTCTGGTAACTATCTCATCACTGCTTCTACTGATGGTACCCTTAAGATTTTGGGCCTGTTAGAAGGAAGACTTATTTACACTCTCCATGGACACAAGGTATACAAAATAATCCTATTAAATGGAGATGTTAATAAATTTTTCAGTATCTTTTTAAATGGAAAGTAGCACTTATGCCATTGTTTCTTGTATCTTGCAAGTTGCAGATAAACTGTAGTGGACAGCAAACTGTTCTATTGATGCACCTTGTCACAAGTACAAAAATGTATTAATTTTACCTATAACCATGCAGTTAAGCTGTCAATACTGTATACATGCTTAATGTTAAATAATGGGTCGTGTTCTGAATTAATTAATAATTCACTCTCCTGATTGTCAAAATCACTTACTTGGCACGTTAGTCTGTATTGAAAAATAGTGCTTTCTCAGGAGTGGGAAACTTTGAAAGGTAACTTTTCTGAAGAGTAGCAAACATTTTCTCACTTTCCTCTTAATGCAAACCAAATCCTACTTTTGATAGTAAAGCACTCTAACATGCTGTCTTGAGTAATGTAATAATATATTTGATTTTTTCATTGCAGAGTTAAGGCATAAAATCTAAGGAAAATGCCACTATTTTCCTAATATTGATTGTAGTAATTTTAATGCAGCATCTTACAAAGATGTGCAATATTAACTCTTCAATCAAATTTTTTTGCAAAAACTTCTCTACAGTTAAATTGCTGCTTATTTAATAAAATTGAAAAATATTTTTTATATTAGATGATGGAATAAAGGTTTTTCTTTTTGCATTAAAATAGCATGATTACAATAATAGCATAATTTTATTGTATGCTATTTTTTTTTTTTCATTCAGGGACCTGCACTTTCTGTGGCTTTTTCAAAAGGTGGTGAAAAATTTGCCTCAGGTGGAGCAGATGCTCAGGTTTGTGGTATTGTTTTTTTAAATTAAATGTCTTAATGTTTGTTACAGTGGATGGGAGTTAAATATAGTCTATCGCAGTAACGTGCCAATTACAGTACGCTGACACACATTCTGTCTGATAGTGTGTTATATAGACTTTGTTTAGCCTAAAGTTAAACTTGAGGAGAAAAATGATAAATACATCATTTAAAAACTTGATCTTAACTACTTTTTGATCAGATGTTATGACAAGCAGAAGACCACAGTACTAGCCACTTCTGCTAAAGTATTTCTATTTAAAAATCATTCCTTTAAGTGTTGTAATTCAGTGTCAACAATTTAGTTGTGTTGCAACTAGTATTAACACCTACATGCTCCATTAGGTTTTCACTTCTTTTAAATAAGTCATTACTCTCTAATCATAAGAATTAAGCTGTACTACTGGGAGAACTGTGGCTAGAATTGGGGAAAAAAAACTTGTGTTAGCTTTGCTGATTTATATTGGTGAAATAGAAAAGTTCTGGATTAAAAAAAAATTAAGATAAAAACCAACAGCAAATCATACATCACATTAATCTTGATGTGATGTGTTAAAACTCATAATTACAAAAATGCTATCAAGCTTGGAATGATCTCTCTCAAACCTTTACATTCTCCAAAAGGAAAGAACTTTTGTAGCCCAAGGCTTAGAGTTTCACAGTCTGAAATGCTCCTTGATATTAGTGGTTTGTTCATCGCTTCCTGTTTATAAAAAGCTAAAACCTCAGTGTAGACACAGAAAGCCTTGCTGTAGAAATAAAGATTTTTTGAATTTACCATGAATTATGTTTATATTCCATTCTGTGGAGTTCGAAATATGTTTCCGCTAGTAACAGAGATAGTCTTACAAAATAATGAATACTTTTCAATTAAAAACTTTAGTATCATTAGAAAGAACAGAGTCTGTTTCCGTTTTTCAATTGATGTTTCAGGTCGCACACTTTCTAGAAAGACTTGAAAGCATTCAAAAGGAAAAAATAAAATTGCTTTTTATCACAAAGCGTTAGTAAGAACCAGTGCTAAGACTTGCAGTTATTGGAAAGTGAAAACGTTAGCCAACTTCCACATTAATTTTACAAGCAGGAAAAAGACAGTCAAGAATGGGGAGAAGGTATTTTATTCCTTGAGCCACTAGTCCAATCTTTTATTTTCTATACTAAAGTTTTTTTAGGAGAAATTTTTAGTTCCCAAATGAAACTCTTGATTTCTAGGTAATCCTGAATTGTTGACCTTACTTGAATCCTTTCTTGAGATTTTAGACTGTTGGTATATTTTTACTTAACTTGAGAGGAAGTGAAGTGCATGTATGAAACTAGGTCACATGGCAGAAGATTAATCTGAGAATCTATGATGATGATAGAGAGGACGTACAGTATTAAGCCTAACTCAACCTCCTAGATAAATGTCAGCATACTCGGAATGGCTGTCTTTTTGCATGGATCCTTTGAATGTGGGCCCCCCTGAATGACAGGTATGCTCAGTGCAGTCTCCTGCTCTGACTCTGTGCTGTAGAGCGGGTGGCATGTGGGATCATGGAGTGAGTAGGTGTTACAGTGCAGAATCTAAAATGGCTCATGTTTTGTCAGCAGTTTGGCATAGTGGTTTCATGCTGAATGCACGAGAGGGAAGATACAGGTTCATAAGGCATGTCCTTTGTCGGTAAATGCTGAATGTAAAAAGTACTCATAGTAGGCCTAGTAAGGAATCCTGGGTTTATTTGCCTTACAGAAAAGTATGTTTTAATCTGTTGAGGTGTTTCACTTTTTCTTGTGAAAGTTCCAGTGGGAGATGGCTACTTATTTTGCCATAACTTTCACTTTTGTATTGTAAGTTTCAAAATGTGCAGTTCTAGCCATTGTGTGTTAACTGCCAATGTGTATGACTTTAACTGTAGTAAACATAAGTTTATTTCTCAGTGTCCACTTTCTTTTGGTGTATACACACATGTGCTCTGCAAACATCCTTTTTTCCTGACCTCTCCACAGCCGTCTTCCAGGTCTGCCAGAAGAACAGTTGTTCTGAGACCTCTTCTCAACTCACTGGGATAGAATTAAGTTGGTTTACAGTAAATTTAGGGTGTATTCATTTAAAAAGTTGTGCTGAGAAATCAGCAATGTCAAGCTGATGAGCAGAGACTGGCCATAAATGTAGCATCTTCTATGCGCAGTATCCAAAAGATACTGTTTTTCCACAGCATGAGTTGGATGCAGCTGATTCATTGTAAGTTTACCACAGATTACTTGCTCTGTACACATATTATTTCGAGACTCTTATAATTTTCAAGCAATAGATAAAAACTGGTTTTCCTCCTTCAAAGAAGGAAAATCAGTATCTTTGCTTCTAGTTTCAAGTTTCTTTTTGGTCGGTGCAGAGCCAGTTGAAAGCTTTGTTCAGAAGCACATTAAGAGTTCAAAACAAGCACTGGATAATTTTGGTTTTTCATCCTGTTTTGTTTCTTTCCTCGATCAAAAAAACCCTGAACATGTAGAGTTCTGAAGCTCATGTTCTTCTGACTTCTTAGCTATATGTGCACATGACAAATTATTTAATTACTTGCTTCCATAGAAGACATGACTTTTTAGTGACAGAACAAAGTTCCAACTATTCCTTTGGAAGATAGTAGCCTGTACTGTTAACTCAGCTTTTACCATGTAGAAGAGACAAGTCATTGCATCTAGTGACTGCCAAAACAGCTATTTTTCTAGGGTTGTACATAGTTGCTTTTACAGTGTTTGCATCGCAGTTGAGATACTCAAGGCATACATGGATAGTTTTACTCTTGTTGTCTGTGATGATGAAGCTGCAAGTGGCACGACCTTCCACTTAAGCTCCAAGTATGTTTCATTTTGCTCTAGAGTTGGTCAAATGCTTGCCACTGATGAAAGGTCCTACTTCTGCTTCCTGCCTATACCCTTGTTTACACTCAGCACTGAGTTAGTTTGAATTGCTAAAGCAGTAGAAAATTAGCCTGAAAAAAGTGTGAGTAACTTCATGCTGGTTTGGGTGATGGAGGTAGTGGAACTACACAGCTGAGGAGAGAAAGCAGGACCTCCCTCTTACAGCAAACTGAGCTGCTGTGAATTAACTCACCGCACACCCAACTGTCCTGCAAGTGTCAAGTTCTGAGGCAGGTTTATACAGTTTGTACTGAAATCCATGGATCCCACTTTCACTGTTACTAGTGTCTTGAGTTAGTTTGGGTGCATCTGTATTGGCAGCGGGAGGCCCTGCATTGTATTTGGTGTCTTACCCTCAACAGTCATGAAAATGATGTTGAACCTGAAATAAACTTGTAACAATGCAGCTATTTAGGAACATATTAAAAATACAATTTAGTCAGCTTGGAATTTTCTATGAGCAAATCTGTGATTTGTGCTGTTTATGTGTAGCTTATTAATGTATGCAAAGTATTTTTAATGGTTGTCAAAAATACTTTAGGCTGGAGAGGTGAGTAATTTTAAGTCAGATCACAGTCCCATCTTTCTTTCCTCTTATTTGGGGAGCAGCTATAAAAATCAATATTGGACTTTTGGAAACTGCCATCTTCTAAGTGTGTTATGAACTTCCCTTTTTATTTTATTTTTTCCATTGGCACTTAAAGTAACAAAGGTGACACAAATCTTTGTAAACCTGTGGTAGGGTCAATTAGGTTACTTATTTATACAAAAATTTTGTGATGTGAGAGCGCAATATTGATTATTCATTATGATTTGGTTTCCTGGTCTTATTCTCCATAAGGTTGGATAGACTACCTTCTGCCATCTTACCCCTGCATTCCACTACCTTACTCTTGCATTTGGCCATGGTGGAACTGTTTTGTATTTATTCTACCTTGAATGCAATTGGACAGGGTTCAAAAAAACAGATTCTTGTTGCTAAAACACTGTAACCAGGTGCTTTAGAGTTCTGTGAAACTTGGTCATTTCTCTTATCCCTTCAGACTTTCTCATTTGACCTGCAAGCCCTTACAGGGAACAGAAATTTAATAGTGTATGGCAGAAATAACTTGACACAATCTAGTGGGACAGAAATCTGCTTTGGTTTATGATTATTGGGACATATATATTTTAATAGATTAAAGTACAAGACATTCTGGGGAAGTGTCTGTGTTGTGGAAGAAATCTGACTGAAGATAGCAAGAAATCTGACTGAAGATAGCAGACTCATTCTGATGTCATGATCTATTAGTGATAAGACTTCACTGGACAGTTACATTTTTAGGTACTGGATAGGCTACAAGTTGTTACTGGTATGATGGTTTCTTACAGGTATTACTATGGAAAACCAACTTTGATTCATTTGATTATAAAGAAGTTCTTAAACACCATATTAGAAGAACACATATTGATGATCCTCCTCATCTTCTTGATATTTACCCGAGGTCACCTCATCTCCATGATGAAAAATTTGAGTCAGTTGAGGTGAGTGCAATAAGTACTGTAATACAAGAAACTAGAAGCTTTGCTAAACACTGTCTGACGTTTATAGTTAAACATGTTCTATGTATACCAGAGAGCTTTTTGTTATGTATAATACTTTGGAAGCAACCACAGTTTATGAATCCACAGTAAGGTTACTAGGCTTACAGATGCTTTCACATTTATCCTGGTGAATTCCTTTTATGTTTCTTTTGTAAATCTGTACTCTACAAGTGATTTAAACAAAACGTAGGTGCTATCTGTATTTTCGCTGAAGTAACTTGGCAAACTGTTGCAGAAGATATCTGAATCTTCAGTGAACTTTAGGATGCTACTCAAAATACATAGGACAAGGTGGTGTTATTACTACTAGCTTAGTTACCTTCTTTCCAAGACCTTTAGGTACTGTGAGTAGATCTTGATATCTACCTAAAAGTTGACAGGCCTAGAAAGGCTTCCTAATGTGATTTATGTCACTATTGAGTGACTTTACTCTCAAACCTTCTATCAGCATCCCTTGGAAGTAGTGGGAATTAGGGGAACCAAAGTGAACTGTCAAATATTTTGTCAGCATTTGGAAAATTCTGTGTTTGTCAGGTTGTCTGAAAGCTATGCTAAAAAGGTAAACAGTACTATGTCTTAGACAAGACCATTGTTTATGCTAAAACCCCAGTGACTGTCCTTACTAGATCTGGCTAGCTTCTGCATGGCGATTACCTATGCTTTTGTCTCTTTGATATTTTCCAGGTACCTCTAGTGTTCAAGAGCTGTGTCTGATATAAATGTAGGAAGTTTTTTGTTGCTGTTTTACGCTAATGGAGTCCTATAGAAATTTGGCATTGCTTGTTTTTGTTCATATAAAATTCAGTTACTGCTGCCATGGCATTTGTTTCCTGCTCAGACTTCTAAAACGTTGAAATTTGAGGGTATGAAGCTTTGTGTGTGTATGTAATATGAGTAGTATAAAGATAAAAAATATTTTGACACTTCTTAATTCCTAATGTTTCATGCCTCTTCAAGTTTCTTACTGCTTTTGGGTAGTTGTTGCTTCTCTACCCCTGCTTGTCTCAATTTGGCACGGTCCCTGATACTCCAGAGCTTGGTTCTGGGAAAATAGTACACAAAAAATGGAGCTGTCCTTGCTGAGGATTTATTCAGCTGGGTGCAGAGAGGCAGTTCCAGTGTTTTCACACGTCACCAGTTGGAAATGCTGTTTTGAATAAAAATGCTTGCACTAGGGCATTAAGAATTGCAGGTATCACCTGGTGTTTTGCCTTCAGGATAGTGACTGAAACATGAAGCTTGAGTGTACTTTCACCTTTTCTCAGAACTTCTCCTTACTCACTCTTCAAAGCTCTACACAGAGCCAGTAGTATTTAAGATACCTTCTCTATTTTTTTTTTCTCTCCATCTGTGTACTTTCTGAAGCATAATTAACTTTTACAAGAAATTCCTTACTTGTATCTCCTCTTCTTCAGACCAGCAGTAGCACGAATTTTAACATAGGGTTGAATTTCATGTTCTTGAATTATGAATCATTACAACGGTTCTCCAACTGCACTGCTCAGTGTGATTCTTGAATATTCAAGTAAGTAGAGCTTTAAAGCTTATCATTACAATTATTCGGACAATTTGGAAGTGTAAGTAAATTACTTCTCTGAAGGCATCTACCTTTTTTCCATTGACCATAGAGTTAATCTTGGGTGACCAGCTCATACAGGTGTCTAGCAGTATGTCTAAATTTAGCTGAGCTAAATCCCAGTCATTGTCTCTCTTTGAGATAAGGAGCTTTTGAGGATATTTGAAAATAGTATGTTTAGTCAGTAATGCAATTTCAGTGCAATATACCAAAGGAAATGTATTCCACTTGGTGACAGTTGTATTTCTGAATTTCCTGTGATTGTACATTAATTAACCTTTCACACACTACAGACCTCCTTGAAGTGGATGGAAGATAGAAATAACAGTTTCCTTTAAAGATATAGCATTGAGGTTTGAACATGTTAAGGTGTGTAGACTTTAAATCTTGAGCATGCAAACCTCATGTTGATTTAGTTTCAACTTAAAATTCTCAGTGTCATTTCAGTTGCAAATACTCTCCGATGAAGGAAATAGCAATATACACTAGGTGGCAGTAGAAATAAGAGTATATAGCTTGCCTGGCTCTAGGGTTTCAGCCTAGCAGAAAGAACAGTGTTTAATCAAGTTGAAAACTAAATTACTTCTTGGTATGTTTGGAGACACTATTCCACATCTAGCTACATCACTTTCCTAGGAAATGCATTAAAAAAAAAAAAGGAAGCTTTAAAAGACTCACAAAAAGTAACATTAATGTCTAAGTAGGGGGACATAATCATTTGCCTAAAGCATATGGCTGAGAATCACTTACTTAGTTGGGCCTGCTTCTTTTGTTCCTCCCATAGTTCTGTCCTAAGCAGTGATCCTAATTCCTGCCTCTCACTTGCTTTAAATAACATGTTTTGGTTTTGTTCTGCTTCAGTGCTTAGAAATCACTAATTCTTTATGTAAAAGATTATGTAGAAATGTCCCTTCAAATATATTTTCTTGTGCTATGGATCAGAATGTGATAATTGGAAGAAAAGAAATTAAAAATATTTACATATCAGTTTCCTTTCTCTAGCAAAGCTTTGGAAGAGTGTTTCTGAAAACCTTTAATAAATGACAGCTCTCTCTACCTTGCTTCTTAGTGTTCTGTTTTTTTCTTTTTTAAATTAAAGGTTTATTTCTAAAAATGTTTGAGATTACTTAATATCTAGCTACATCACCTCATCAGGAAATGTCAGGTCACTTTAAACTTCTACTCTAAGCTTCGTTCCCCTACCTCATTAATTTTTAGTGCAATATTAAACACAAGTATTTGCAAGAAGACTTTAGCTACAGCTTGCATGGTTTTGTGCTCTTTTCTTTAGATACTTTGCTGTTTCTAACTTGCTGATACCTATTTTATGTATCTATATGTAGAGAGATATTTTGTAATATGGCCTGTGACAGTTCCTGCACCCCATGTCAGTGTTTGCAATGCCCCTTACCTTCCCCTTATCTCTGATAAAGCAGTAAGCAGAACTATATGCAGATTCCAGCTCCAGGATGTGACACTTCCACGTAAAGAGCACATTTTCTTAACTGATCATGCCATGTGTTTATATAGCAACCCTGTATCAAGAAAAGCATGAAACCCATTCTAGAATATCTCTGTTGTGTATAACAAGGAGCTGTTATCGCAAGGAAGCGGTTTCATGAACTATTAGTAATAATATTACAGTAGCTCCTCTACATTAAGAGTATTGATAGGTGATAGGCATCTACTGTGCTTCTGCAGAATCCTGCAGGTCGATCTTCAGTGCCTAGATTATACATGTCAAAAAGACTTTGGGTTCAGCTGCTGATAATATGATTGACACTTAGACAACATACTGATTATATTTATTTCAGAACTGTCTGAGGGTCAGGTGCAAATGACCCTGGTTATGCTGGGCACGAAACAAATGTGTGCCCTGTAGGTACAATAGTACCTATTGTTTGTTTAAATTGACAGGGTATGTATAGAGGGGAAGAAAGTGAAATCTGCACTTCTGCTCTTCCTCATCTTATCTCTGATAAGCAGAACTATATGCAGAGGAAACTTTCATTAATCAGGTTTCTGTAAAGGAGAAACTAAAGGAGAAGTCTAGTTAAAATGCTAGAACTTTCAGATAAAAGGAAAGTTATTATTTAAACCATGTCTTCGGTTCTTTCTATTTTCTTTTTTTTTTCCCCCTTTCTTTTGTCCAAGTCCATTTGGCAAAATTGGAAGAAAGCAGGACTTGCCTACAAATTGAGGAAGGAATTTAGTTTGTTAGATCTGATGGCCCTGCAGCAGGACAGGAATAGGAAATACAGTCTACAACAAGTAATTGTTGCTGGAAAGTAAAACTTTCAGGAGCGTTTATAGTCATCATGTACATGCAAAAGCTTTCAAAAACACCTGTGAGTGACAGTTACAGAGTTGGGAAGTTGTTTGAAGATTTCCTACTGTTCAGTATTTCAGCAGCATCGTTGGCCACTCTGTTAATTGCCTGGCTTCAACCTTGGGCAGGTTTTGAGTTAACTGTCTCAGTAAATCCATTTCAAACTGGTATTTGGAACTTCATTTTTACTGATTTGTCATAGTATTGAACTTAATTCTTACACCTCTTGTGGTAGGAGTTTTGGGTGATGGATGTTTATGGAGTACAAATAATATTTCTGTAACAAATGCCTATCTGGGTTTTCTTTCTGTGTTATATGATTGCATTTTACATGGTTGGAGGTAACATTACCTTTAGTTTTACAAATTTTAAAGTGTTTCCAGTCCTTAGTGAATAGTGGTGCCTTAATGTAGCAGAGAGTCCTTTTTATTTCAGTCTTATTTTTCTCTCTCTATTCATGCTGAAACAATATAATAATTTATTTTCAACAGGTCAACCCTACCTTTGATCTGACTAATACACAAACCCTTGAGCCACCTGTCATAGAAATTACTTCCTCTTTATCTTTCAGTACTCAGGTAAGTTGCCTTATGAGAGGGGGTGGGGGAAAGAAAAAAGATAAGGTATAGCTTAAACTAATATGTTATCGGGAATGTTCTTTTTCTGTCTGTATGAATGAAACACTGTTTAACAACAGTCGACTGCTTAGATCTAGCTCAATATCCTAACTTCTCAAGCTTTCTCTCACAGTTCCCAGGGCTAACCAGAAGATGGTGTAATAGCAAAGCTTTCATGTTCCACTAGTAACTTTACCATACACCAAGCAGAAATTCTAAGTATAAGCCCATACTAATGAGATCTAAATATTACTGTTAAAATTTGTGGCTTATTCTCAAGCACTTTTTGTAACTCTGTCTTTATATGCAAATAATGGCAAACCTAAAGAATAGTTGCCTCATTGATGAATTCCAAAAGTGATGTTTTAATTTTTCTCCTTTTAAGGCATCTAGTAGTTCTCTAGGAGAAGGTGAAGAAAAAAAAAAATAGTGACACATTTTAAGACAGAATCATAGGATTAGATCCTTCTAGTGTTAGCTTTTCACATGACACTGGTATGGCATGTGGGAGGAAAGGAAGGCGATGTTTTAACGGTAGTCTCGTAGGAGGAAAAATATGCTCTCCTGGTATGAAATCTAAAAGACGTACTGTTCTAGAATTAGGTTAAAATGAGAATTTCTCTTTTAGCTCTGAATCTGTTCCTGTGAAGGCATAAATTGTATCTTGAGCAATTTTAGTTACCATGACAAGAGTTTGTGTGGTTGAAGGGTTAATACATATGAATAGGCAGCAGGTGTGGTTTCTGCTGTTCTATTTTGTCAGGAATACTTTGTGAAAAGGTATGTTGTGAAGGTACTTTCTGAAATTCCAAAAGGTCACTTACTGAAGATCATGATATAGAGGATGATGGCTGAGAAACCTTTTCTTCAAAACAAATAATCATAAAGCAAGTTTTATTTGAGAGATGATAATTTCATATATTAATGTTTACCAGTTGTGTTTTCACAATGGAAATGTGGGGTTTTTTTGCAAGATAACTTCTGTCAAAAGTAATTTTCAGACTTACAGAAATCTCATTAGTAGGCTTGACAGTGGATTGTGGTGGATATAATTTATTGGCTACCTATCACTTTAAAATGCTCTGTGTTCATTACTTCCCAATCTTAATACTGATCACAGAATTCAAATTTATGGTTACACTGTAATTCTTTGCTACATACCTATAAATCTGCTAATCATTTAAGCTCCTTCAGTAGTTCTTTTGATATGACAGCAATTTATAAAACTTTGTCCAGAACTCATGGTAGGAATAAGTTGACCCACTAGAAACAGCATCCTTTGGATGGTTGGATAGATAGATGGCTTTACAGTCATCTTCATTATAAAAATGTTGTGTCAACATTCATGTCTTTTGACTGTCAGTAATCGCTACCTTTTTTTTTTTTTGTCTCCATTATCTTGATCTCCTGTTCACTACTGATTCTCACCTTCATGCATCTTAACATTCACTATCTACATCTTTTTTCCATCTAACAACATTTCTGTATCCTTGCTACTTGAACTACAGAATAAGGACAACTGCTCTGTCCAACACACAATTATTGACACAAATTCAGAAACTATTTGTATGTTTTCTGTGCCGCTACTGTCCTTCCTCCCCCATAGTAAGTGACACTTTCCCCAACTTTGCTAACCTGTCTTGTCTTTCCTACTTTCCAATGTCAACTCATCTTTTAGTATCATCATCCTGTTCAGTGTCTGTCTGATGCATTACCAGCTTTGATTGTTTGTGGAATTAGCACCTGTTTCTTAATCATGTTAGCCATCCAGTCTCTTTGTGTCATGTTTCCAAAGGGTTCTGGATCTCAGTGACTTGGACCTTTGAAGTTGACTCAAATTCCCTAATGTATTAGAGACCCCTGTCTATAGAGGCTTCATGTGTTCTTCATAAAAATCAAAGTGGGAAGGGAAGATGCTGGCTTTCTTCCCATCCCACCTTCACTGCCAGATTTCCTCTTGATACTGTTTGTCCTCACTCTGTTTGTGCATTATTTGTGTGGTTTGTTTTGGTTTTTTTACTCCTCTTCTAACTTGAGGTTATTAACCTCTAGTCTAATTCATCCTCCTCCCCCATCCCTTTCTCTGATTCCACTCCCCCCCAGTTACTTTTTTTTTCTACTGGTCATCAAAGGCAATTTCATAGTACACTTTTTTAAATTTTATTCCCCTCACCCCCACCTCCCCAGCAAACTTGACAAGACCCATCTTAAAGCTGCTTATGGCTTTTTGGTGCTACTTCTGCTAGAAGAATGCTGTTCAAATGACTAAAAATCTTTGGTCAGGTTGCCAGGTTAATTTTAAAATGTCCTGACTATACCTACTTACTCTTTCTGAAGTGTTTTGCTGTAGCTTAAGCAGTTCTTCTGCCCTTCTGATATGCATAGAGAGAAAAATGCACTCTGCACTTACGTATCTTTAAGGGTTCTTGATCCACTGTGTTTATCACACATGTAACACAACAGGACCCTAAGAGTTATTTACAAAACACCTTGGTAAGCCCCTGAACCCACTGCAAGTAGCTAATCAATGTAGTTAGGAGAATAAGAGAATCTCCATTCCTTATTGGATCTGGGGGGGGAAACATTGTTGTAAAGGATGAAGATAAGGCTGAGGTACTTAATGCCTTCTTTGCCTCAGTATTTAAGAGTAAGCCCAGTTGAGCTGAGCTGGCAGACAGGGATGGGGAGCAGAATGAAGCTCCCATAATCCAAGGAAGATAGGTTAACAACCTGTTGCACCACTTAGACACCCACAAGACTGTAGGGCCAAATGGGATCCATATCTAGGGTAATGAGGGAGCAGGTGGAAATGGTCACCAGGCCACTTTAATCATTATCAACAACCCTGGTTAACAAGGGAGGTCTCAGTTGACTGGAGATATGCGAATGTGACTCCCATCTACAAGAAGGGCTAGTAGGAGGATCCAGGGAACTACCGACCTGTCAGTCTGACCTTAGTGCCAGAGAAGGTTACGGAGCAGATCATCTTGTGCCATCATGTGGCACATACAGGACAACCAGGTGATCAGGCCTGGTCAGCATGGGTTTATGAAAGGCAGGTCCTGCTTGTCTGACTTCATCTTCTTCTATGGAGGTGTCCTGCTTAGTGAATGAGGGAAAGGCTGTGGATGTTGTCTACCTAGATTTTAGTAAAGCCTTTGACACCTTTTTCCCACAGCATTTTCCTGGCGAAACTGGCTGCTCATGGCTTGGACAGGCATGCTCTTTGGTGGGTAAAAAATGTGCCTGATAGCTGGGGCCAAAGGGTTGTGGTGAATGGAGTTAAATCTACTTGATGACCGGTCACAAGTGGTGCTCCCCAGGGCTCAGTTTTGTTTAATATCTTTATCAATCACCTGGATGAGGGAACGAATGCACCCTCAGTAAGTTTACAGACAACACCAAGTTGGGCAGGAGTGTTGATCTGCCTGAGGGTAGGAAGGTTCTCCAGAGGGATCTGGACAGGCTGGATCGATGGGCTGAGGCCAGTTGTATGAGGTTCAACAAGGTCAAATGCTGAGTCCTGCACTTGGGTCACAACAACCCCAGGCAGTGCTACAGGCTTGGGATTGAGTGGCTGGGAAGCTGCCTGGCAGAAAAGAGCTTGGGGTTGTTGGTTGACAGCTGGCTGAATATGAGCCAGCACGTGCCCAGGTGGCCAAGAAGGCCAATGACATCCCGGCCTGCATCACGAACAGAGTGGCCAGCAGGACTAGGGAAGTCATTGTCCCCCTGCACTTGGGACTGGTGAGGCTGTACCTCGAGTACTGTGTTCAGTTCTGGAGCCCTCACTACAAGAAAGACATTGAGGTGCTGGAATGTGTCCAGAGAAGGGCAACGGAGCTGGGAAAGGGTCTGGAGCACAAGTTCCATAGGGAGTGGCTGAGGGAACTGGGGTTGTTCAGCCTGGGGAAGAGGAGGCTCAGGGGAGACCTTATCGCTCTCTACAAATAGCTGAAAGGCTGTAGCCAGCTGTGTGTTTCTCTTCTCCCAAGTGATGGGACAAGAGGAAATGGCCTCAAGTTGTGCCAGAGGAGTGGATATTAGGAAAAAGGGAGGTCAAGCATTGGAATGGGCTGCCCAGGGAGATGGTGGAGTCACTATCCCTGGGGGGATTAAAAAGACTTGTAGACATGGCACTTAGGGACATGGTGGACTTGGCAGTGCTGGACAGAGGGACATTGTTTAGTGGTGGACTTGGCAGTGCTAGTTTAATGGTCAGACTTGAAGATCTTAAAGATCTTTTCTAACCTAAACGATTCTATGATTATATATATACTTTAATTTTTCTACTGAAGAAGAGATACAGCCTTTCTTGGGTCCCTGTCTCAAGTATTTAAAGATGATCTCTGGGACAACTAACAACACTGAAGCTTTTGTAGGATCTGTGGTGAGTTCCCTAAAGCTCCCTGCAATATCTTCAAGGAGATTGGAAGTCTATACAAAACTTCAAAATGTTTTGTTGAATGGTTATTAAATAATCCTAATAAGCAGGTGAACTACCATAGATCTCAAGCTAGTCCAGGGAATAGGATAAAAGTGTTCTCCATATTGAGGTGCTGTTCTTCAGCTATGGGAACTGTGTCCTGTCCTACTGGTCATAGGCAATATGATATTAGTGCTCCTAAGATGACTTGTGGCAGAGCAAAAAAGTACTCCTTTTCTTCCCTTCTCTAAAGATTTGTTAATAAAAATGATAGATCAGTGTAGGTTGATAGATATGTCTGGAGTCCCTTCATTGAACCTTCCCCTTAAAGCAAGGGATCAGGTCACTAAAGGTCTTGTCCTGTTCATTTGTTAATATGTGTAAGGATGAAGATTCCACCACCTCTCTGGGCAGCTTTCTCTAGTGTTTATCTGATAAAAATATTTTCTTCATATTACGTAGATAGAATTGCCTATGTTCAAACAGGTCTGTTGCTCTAATTCTATCACAGTGGTCCTCTAATAAGGGTCTGGCT